GACTTGTGATCCTCCTGTTTTCAGCCTCCCAAGCACTGGGATTACAGGCGTGCACCACCACTCCCAGTCTCAGTCACCTCTCAGTGTGTCCCAGGGGTGGGGCCAGCACAGCGCTCCAGGGATCGAACCTTGGCCACTGTGCTCTGCCTAAGCAGGCGCTCTGGTCTGCTGAGCTATCAGGCCAGCCCTTTGTGATGATAAATATTATAAACATTCCTTTTGTCCAGACAATAGTAACTTTTCTAATGTTCTGTTGCAGTGCTCCTTGTATTCCCTAATAAATTTTTGTTTTTATTTTGAGACAGGGTCTCACTATGTAGTTCATGTCTGTGTATCCCAAGTTGGCCTCCATCTCATGGTGATTCTCCTGCCTCAGCCTCCTGGGTGCTGGGATTATAGGCATGTGCCACTTGGCTGGCTTGTATTCTATAAAACAGTGGAAGAATTGCTTGATTTATACAGATCAATACATATTTGAATGTTGAATGGCTGAAATGAGAACTTTTATTTAGAACTGTATAGCTTTTAAAATTAAAAACAGGGCTGGTGAGATGGCTCGGTGGTCTAAAGCACCTACTTAGAACAGACTTAGCAGGGCACGGGGACCACGGTTCAATCCCCCAGCACCACATGCCAGCCAGCCCTGCCCCCTGGTGGGCTGAGCTGGCCACATGCGCGCACACACACACACACACACACACACACAAATAAAATAAATAAATTAAAAAAAATAAAATTAAAAACATTTTTTTTTCTTTTTTTTGAGGTGGGGGTCTCACTGTGGAGTTCAGACTAGCCTGACATTCATAGTGATCCCCCTTTCTTAGCTTCCCCCATGCTGGGATTACAGATGTTTGCCACCACACCTGGTTTAGAACAGTATAGCTTTGTATTAGTTTATCATTATTTAATGCGTGATCCTTATTATGAATGCTTTAGTTACTTATTTACTTGCTTTTTAGACAGAGTCTTGCCATATTACCCAAGCTGGCTTTTTTCTTTTGTACTGGAAGTTGAACTCAGGGGCTTGTGCTTACAGGGTAGGCACTGTACTGCTGAGCTGTATCTCCAGGCTGGCTTTGAACTCCTGGACTCA